AAAAAAAAAAAAAAGGAAAATAAAGCGCATTTTGGGTTTCAGGAGCAATGTATGCGGCGTGCATGGATAGGTGATAATACCACTGGTGCCATCAGATGAAGCTGTTTCGGTGCTAGGCTTGATCTGAACTAAAATCGCGTCGAAATTGAAATTTCATCCGTGAATATGAAGCAGAAAGTGGTACCTCGCCCCCTGCACTTTCTGGATGGGTGTATTGCAGTGGATCAGAGCTTCTTGCTTTCGGGAGTGGCTGTGTTCGTGCTAGTTTGCCTGAAAGGGTGTAAGATGGGAAGTCAGTGCAATTATAAGAGGCATAAAGTAGTCTAAAATGCAGTCATTTCCCCAAAATAGAAGTAAATGCTTAAATTGTTTACTATGTTAGGAGAATGCTGACTAGAATTCTGTTATGTGCTGCTAATGCGCACCTAAATGTGTTTTGTTTGTAGTCCAAAATGTTCCAAACTCTGATTGGGAAAAGAAGGTAACTGAATACTTCAAGGAGAAATTAAAAGAAAATAATGCTGCTAACTGGGTAAGATTGGTTTATTCTTTTAGAGTTATGTCTTTCTTAAGTCTCATTCTTTTCACCTCTTAATTATTGCAGTGACCTGCTTTGGAGAAGTTATTCCTTTTTGTGATAAGCACACTTACAAACTGAGCCTAGACTTTGTGATACGTTATTTACGTCTCAGTTTCTTTAATCTGTGTGTAAAGCAAAGATGTAAAATCCTTCTGGAAACCAGAGAAGCCAATCCACTTGACTTCAGTGTACTCTTTTGCCCTGGGCCATAACTGCTGAACACTGTTTGTAGCACACTCCAGTAGATGGCAGGAGCTGACAAATACTGTCATTTTTGAAAGTGTTAATGCCTGCCCTGTCTTCTGTGAGTCTGCAGTAAGTGTTTGTACACCACAAGTTTCTGAACTGCTGCTTATAAACCCCTTCTCTCATGACCTTTTATCGTCATGCTGCAAACAATGTGTGGGTTGAAGAAATAGCTGCTTGGGCTTTCAGGTTTTATGGAAAAATACTTTCTGCTAAAACTGTGCCTTATTGGGCTGGATCAGGCCCGGTTTTCACAGTTTGGCGAGGAAGCTGTGCTTTAGGTTTAAAAATAAAGCATGCACACTTGAGTTCAACAGCTGATATTTTTCTAAAAGACTGTGGTGAAAACAGCATCATGGAACACTGTGAAATGGATTAGAAACTTTCATATCAAATCTGTTCTATTTATGGCTAAAAAAATGTGAAAAGGATTGCTGGGGTTTTTTTTCTTCCTGTGTCAGTGAGAGTGTTCTGTAGTTACTGTTTCAATGACAGTTTTAAGTGTAGATGGCAAAATTGTGTTAAATTTACGGCTTTAGAAGGAATTGAAAGGGCATTTTCTTTCTCCAGGTAAACATGAGGGAATACATGCTTGTTTGTTAAAATGCTGTTTCCTATCGGGCCACTTCTGGGTTTTGTTGCATTTCAATGTTGAGTGTGGGTTTCTTTCAACAGAGTTTATCTTCAAAATCAGAAAACCCTATTCTTATCACAAGTCTTATTATTTCAAGTTATAACATGTGCCTAGGCATTGTCTTTTTCCTCCTATTTTTCCACTGACATGTAAATAGATCTGAAAAAGACTCTCCCATTGTGGACTTTGAAATTAACATACAGGTTTTCCATGGCCTTTTATTATAAGAAATGGTGCATGCCATGCTATGGTACCACATGGTACCACTGGTACATAATACGTGGTAAAAGTGCTGTTAAATGGGAATAAAATCAGTAAAAAAATCTATTTAATACTGCAGCTGCATAATTCCCAGTGTTTCAAATGTTTTGTAGAGTTTCCATATAGTTTCAGTGACCAAAATGCATTTCTTTATAGCCCAGTATTTGGATTGAGAAATGAACAGGACTGGTGGCTCTGGAACTGGAAGAATTTGGGAACTGTTAAGTGCCTGATAATCATCATTATTATCTGTAACAGCTATTGCAGAAACTTCCAGTGTTGAGTTATATACACTTTGTTACTGCTTTGATTAAGGCAGTAGATGTGGGGGAAAAGTACTCAGAAAATATTCAGTAGTTACCTGACGAGGCCCTGAATTTTTTAATCGTATTAACAACAACGATACAGCGTTTGAGGCATGTAAGTGAACAGCAGGATATACCAGATGATCAGAGAATAAGTTGGTGACAGATTTTGTGCTGATTTTGTTTTACTTCAGTTATTTAGAATAAGCTCTTTTTTTACAGGTTCCATCACTGAATGATGTTCCTGTGCATTACCTAAAGCCCAATAGTTTAGTGAAATTTCGCTGCATGGTTCAAGATATGTTTGATCCTGAGTTTTACATGGGAGTATATGAAACAGTTGACCCAAATACAAATGCACGTGTAAGTAAAATACCGGTTTATTATTTTAGTAAATGTTTAGCTTTTTCTCCATTCTAGGCTTCATATTTCCTCTAGTTTCTGAATTAAAACTGTGGAGTCTGAGCACTACCTAATAGAACTCTGTTTATGTGGCTCAAATGACATCAGAAGTACATCACTTCTTACATTTTTGTTGAGGACTAAAAATTACTAAAATAATGAAGGGCTTTAGACTGCAGTGATTTGGTATAAGTAATACATATTCAGTATGCTGTCTGAATTACAACGATTGCATTGCCTTTTCCTTCTTGACAGGTTTTACATTTTGGTAAATACAGAGATGTGGCAGAATGTGGGGTAAGTTATACAAGTTACATGAATTTTGAGATGACGTATTAGACAGAAAGATGCAGTTTGTAAGTTTAGTATAGCTTATTTGGTACTCACCAGTGGATTCCTGGAGATACGTTCTTAAAATGCAAAATTCATCTCAGGTTTGGAAAGCAGTGTTTTCTTAACCGCTCACGGGCATTCCAAGTTCAGTAGCCTTCAGGCTGTTTCTGTTGTATTAAAAATTTGCTTTGCTTGGGCAAGGAGTGCTTTTGACCTTGAAACTTTTCTGCTATGGAAAAAGAATTTACTTTTGTTGGTGCAGTGCTATTAGAATCAAAGCATTATAGATATAGACTGTTTGGATTCGCTGTTCTACGAGTATGTAGCATGTTTGTTGTAACTTCTGGCAAAGTAACTGAACCTGTGGGATTAGTTAAAAATCTGATTAAAGTTTTTCTTTTTTTCAACAACATTTGTATTGGTATTCTAGCCAAAAAAATTTTAACTCCTCACAAACAGTCACCTTGGAGAGACAGACTTTCTACTGCGTTCCAGTGCCTGGTGAATCAGCATGGGTGAAAGAAATATCTTTTTTGACTGAGCTAGTGCTTTGTTATTCAAACAGTGATTGCCAACTGATTCATTAGATTTAAGGAGATAAGTTTAGTTAAAGGGCTTTTTTAGTGAATCAGGACAGGTGAGGAGAGGTGGTAAGTGAGGGAAAAGGAAAAATTGGTGTTATGCACACCAATTGGTTATATGCACAGAGAGGATGCAAATGAATTTCAAAGCATTGCTTTTTGATTTAGTAGGGATTTAGGCTAGATTTTCATGTCTGCTTGCTGCTTGGGAGGATCTTGAAAATTTCTGTTAATTTCTATTTGCCAATGTTTAGAAAATGAGAAACTTCAGTTGAGCCATGAGCCTTCTATTGCCATTTTCTGATTAAATTAGGATGCTGTTATGTAGTGAGAGTCTCCTGCAAGAACCTGTAAAAACACCTGTAGCTGAGCATGTTAAGACAGTAATTCCTGGAAGATTGAAGTATTATGTTTATAATAGTTCGACCATGGTATGTAATTCTCTCAATATGTGTGCGAAATGTCTTGGGGAGAAACAAATCATCTTTAGTTTCTTCTAGTAAGTGGGAGTTGAATTATCTGAGTGGAATGGATACAAGATACTTCTTTTAACACCTTTTAGGAGTTTTATATTCTCCTCCAAAGGAGTGAGGGAGAGGTCTGCAAAAATTAAGATATAATACATTTTGTAAAAAGATACAAATTTGATAGTAAATCTAATATGATTTGATATTCATACTTTGAATTCAGAATTTGAGAGAATTACTACTTGTCATTGGCACAGAATACCAATGCAATTGTAAAATTATCACAATTTTTAAAATAAAATAAATAAATAAATTTGGTAAGAGTTAGTCTTTGAAGCTTACAGAAAAATACTGCAGCGGTGGAAACTTAAAGTGAGACAGACTATTACGGAAATACTGAACATTATTTCAATATTTGCCCATCACGCTAAGAAAAGGAAAAGTGCATTAGCATTTCAAAAATTCTTTGCAAGTGTGGTATTGCTGGTATCTTACAGGCATGTAAACATTTTCTGTGTATTTCTTTTTAAAGTAATAATGATAGTTGTATCAGACAGAAAGTCTTTATAAATATTATTATACAATCTGTTCTTCAGGGTTGAGATGTGGGAGAGAAAAAATTCTTGAGATTTTCAGTTGTGCCTGACAACAAGCATGTTCTCTGGGTGTAAAACCACCTCCCTTTTTTAGAGATTGATAGTGGAATAGCACTCAATGTTTTTTAGTTTCTATTTTTAAAAAAGCCAATGGTTGCTGTACACTTCTTAAGCAGGTTATTTATATATCTAAAAAGGAGATGTCTGGATAGGAATTTGAATAATTATTTTAATGTCTTGCTCAAAATAGGATAATAGCACTTTGTTTTAAAAAAAAAACAACTTTGCCTGACTTTTCTCACCTGAGTCTGTAGTTGTCCTTAATCCTAAATTTTACGCATATATTAGTGCAAGCCAAGCTCGAGTTAGTCCTTCAACATCCTACACACCCAGTCGCCACAAGAGGAGCTATGAGGAAGATGAGGATATGGATCTACATCCATCTAAACAGAAGGAGCAACATATGGGTAATAGTCATTATTGATGAATAGTTACTGTGATGTCTTTCCAGAAATTGCATAAATTTCACTCTCAAAAATTTTAATATTTGCAATTTTGTGTTAATGCAGCTTTCCTAACTAATTTGGTGCTTTTGTTGAAGTCATCAGTGTGGGAGAGCCTGGGGTGTTGCAAATGTTTTATTAGATAGTTCAGACTGTTTTGTCTTCATATCAGACTGGATCTATTGTAGAACAGACTTTTATAGCTTTATTATCGCTGAAGATCTACAAAGTTCTTCAATGTAAACTGTTATGTTGATGTATACTCTTAAAAATTATCTAGTTTTTTGACCAAGAAGTACAGAAAAAATATTACCTTTGCAGTCTTACCAAATTTAGAAAAAAATTATTCACACAGTTAAAGCATTAGATTTTGAAAATCAGACATAGGTACATAGATCTTTACCAGTACTCACACTCATGCTTACCTTGATGATATAAAATATACATTGGTGAGACTTCTCTATTCTGAGTATCTTCTGTCAAATATATTGCTTTATTAAATATTTTTGTCCTGGACGTTTTGTTAAATTACTTTAATTCTGTGGTGCTCACTGAAGAAAGTTGTTAATTTTTGCACTTGTGTTTAAGGCGCCTATGAATACTTTATTTTTCAGGTGGTGGAGGTGATATCCATGGATGTGTGGAGCCAAAGAGATTAGAAACGGAGGCTTCTGCAGGTCATCATCTCATTTCTCCCAACTGCTCCCCTCCACTTGACTTAAATTTCCCATTGCCTGGAGAGAAGGGACCAGCATGTCTTGTCAAGGTAAGGGAAGTGGAGAGATGCTGAGCATGGCTGTGGCCTCAGTGAGGCAGGCAGAATCTGAAGTTAGAGTGTAACTAGTAGGTCTTGCATTAGTTTATGGGCACAGAAATTGCCTTTCAAGTCCACAGTTTTGTTTCTGCAGATAATTACATTGTGTCTCTTCATTATTACATCGTTTCTCTGCACTACCCCTGTATGTGAATGGCTGAACTCCTTTGACAGCGTTTATTAGAGCTTGCACATTCTCACTACACTTAGTAAAATGAAAAAATCCGTTACTAGATGCTCAAGGGTGTAGCTGATACTGAGTCCTGGTATTTTGGTTTTAGGATTTGGTCTCTTAAGCAAAAACATTCTTACAGAACAAGCAAAACACTACACTACACCTTTTTGTATTGTATTTTAAATTTATTCACGGTTATGCTGTATTGACTATGAAACTCCCAGCATAAACATTGTAAGCTGTTACCATGTTGAATGGTCTCTTATTCATCGGATCTTGATAAATCAGATTAGAATACAGTTGTTTACATTTGTGTAGCAAGAGAATGCCAGTAGGAAAAATGAGTTTCTGCTGTAAACTTCCTGATGCTCTGAGGGCTAGCAGGGACCTCTTCACACAGACTGTTCTCAGCCTACAGCTGAGTCTCCTGAGATTTTTCCTTTTGTCTGTGTATGTGTGCAGTCCTGCATCTGGCCCATCTGCGCCTGCATTTTATTATTTTTTCTTTGTGGCAGGTCTATGAGAGCTGGGATAGCTTCAAAGTCAACGATGTTCTGGAAGTATATGGGATTTTGTCAGTGGATCCGGTGCTGAGCATAGTAAATAATGAAGAGAGGTAAGGCTGTCCTAACGCGTGATCCTGAAATGAAGGAAATTTTTATTTCAATGGGCAAAATATTTTGTCTGTCCCCTTAATACAGGAAAATGTGTAAATACATAACAATTATGCTTAAGAGGTGAATTTTGTTGCTTAAAAAAAGCTTGATGTGGAAGGTGTTAGTTCCACCATCCTGTAAACTGAATCGTTGTATTCTGGTACATCCGTACCCTTGGATACCCAACACATCTTTTTCTAGGTTATTGTACAGTCTATAAAGCAGAAAGTGCTTCTGTAGATAAATATTTTTCACTATTTCATGCCTATTAAACTTTCAAATTTTGAGTGAACAGTGAGCAAAGCTTTCAAATAAGCTTTAAAATTATAAAATGTCCTTTTGAAATTATTTATAAGTCCATGGAAGTTGTGACCACAAACAGTATTGAAGAATATTAAAAAAAATGATTGTGTGTCTGCATGAAGAGTGAAAGTGACCAAAATGAGTACAAATTGGGTTGATTTTTTGTTCATCATGGTGTATCATCACATTATACTGCTGATAGAAACTTCCCATTTCACCTGCTGTTCTGCAATTACTCACTTGACAAAACAGAAACTAATCAGGAGGGATGCAAGAAAGCAATTTTTAAAATAAAGCTGTGGACCAATCTAGCATATGTACTACCAGGGTCTTGAACCATTGTGCTTTAAATTATTTCTGTTGGTGATTTTATCTCTCTGATAAGTACAATGTGGAGAGTGCAGTGCAAATCCTTTGTAGTGCCAACTTCTTAAAAGTTAACTCAGCCTGGTCAGCTGCTTTTGTTTATCATCTGTCTGACAGCTAATCCCAGACTGACAGCTCAGTTGGTCTGTCATGGGTTGTTGTTTTTTTTCCTGCATGTCATTCCATCACAAATAAACAAAGTGGTGGCATTTAGCAACATTCTGAATGCAAACAAAATAAGTTTCTTTTAATGGAGAGAGTTGATAGTTGGTGGACTGATGAAAAGGCCTTGAAGTTATGAAGCCTTTCCGCTTTTAAAACCAGTACAAGTTGGTTAAATTTGTTCTAAGATTTACTATCATCTGATATAGTCACTTTAGGGATTAGTTTCTACGTAACAAATGAGAACCACTTGTAAGGAATTTTGTAAAGCGTCATCAGGGAGAGCAAAGCTTATATATCTGAACTCTTAAATTAAGAGGTAATACCTTCAAGTTTGAGCTGAGGTACATTAGGATTTATTTACTCACGGTTTTTTACTCAGCCAGTGGTACAGCTGGTATGTGACTGTCTAGAAGGTCTTGTTGTCAGGCTCAGGAACCAGGTGGAATACGTAAACCCCACATGTGCATACACAGAGAAACGTAATAAATCATTACCTTATTTTCTGAAAAGTTACTGTTTAGACTTCATTCAGTACATGCTGGACAGAACAGTGTGTAACATTTTATTTGAAGCTACATCTTATTAAGTGATGCAGCAAATAATAAATGTGATTTTGTTTGGAGTGTTTGCTTTTGGGTTTTGGGGTGGGTTGTTTGGCTTCTTTTTTCAGAAAAGCAAGATTTGATTATTTTCTTAAGATAATAGAATCCACATTTTTTCAGTCAAGCATGCTTTGGCATTTCTGTATCATTATATAATTGTGATTTAAAGGAGGAGTTACCAGGAGCTGGTTTCGGATGTTGTTTGTTCCAGTGTGCTCTGTTCTTGGCCTGGGTCCAGCTGCTCTTAGTCAGATGGAGAGAAATTTGTGTGTAATGTTTTTAAGTCCAGTTGTGCTGTGCCCTTTCCTAGGGAGAGCTCAGTCCTCGATCCTATGGAGTGTATGGACACAGCAGAAGAACAGAGAGTACACAGCCCTCCAGCCTCATTAGTCCCCAGGATCCATGTGATTTTGGCACAGAAATTACAACACATTAACCCATTACTGCCTGCCTGCCTTAATGAAGAGGAGAGTAAAACCTGTGAGTATCTGAGCTTGCCCTCTCTCTGTGTACATGTATGTGTGGTTTCTAGTACGTGTGAACAAATACTTCTTTGCTCACAGACAAATGTATTGATGGCAGGGTTTGAATTTAAATCTTGTTAAATGGAGGAACCATTCAACACTGCAGAACTGGACAAGATGCAACTGTTTGTGTTTATGTGATGCTTACATGTTTATTTTTCTGAAATAAACATGACTTATATGAAACTTGTTTCTGCATTCTATGTGCCCAAGGATTTTACCAAGTTGTTCACCCATAAGATTTTATTTGTTTTCAAATGGAGTAGTGAATTGCTGGAAAACTAGATTTCCAATGTAGTGTAACAGTGAAAATAAGAAAAATACCGACAACATAAAGCATCATAATACTGTGAAGAAAATAAGGTAATTCTGATTTTAAGCAGCTATACTATTCCTTGTGGCCTGTTAGACCGTTATTTTTTGGTCATTGAATTATTACATGCAAACCTCTAATTCGTATTCTTCCTTGCGTGCCTTGTATTGGTTGTCCTGTGTTTCACATAAAGGGTGTTTTTTTTCTGCCTTTAATATAATATGGATAGGCTATTGATTTTAGAAGTTTGGCTCCAAACTTTACAGCCTTCTGCAAATGCATTAGACAGCATCCAATTTAAAAAAAGAAAGCATTTCCAAGGAAATGTGATTCAAGTTTATCCAAAGGCAGTAATTGCTCAGTTAGAAAACAAATGAGTGTTTGTTTATTTTTCCTAGACTGCTTTGGAGTAACCATTTTTCTTCTTCAAACTGTAATGGAAAACAAGGTTTATGTAGAGGGAAACAGGTAAGGAACAGCACGTTTTCTGACCTTTGTTGTCTTTTGCTCTTTTATCAGTTGTTTCTAATTTCATGTCTGAGCTGTCGCCAGTGAGAGCAGAGTTGCTTGGGTTCCTCACCCACGCCCTGTTGGGAGACAGTCTGGCTGCTGAATACCTTATATTACATCTCATCTCTACAGTGTAAGTATTTAGTTGTTTGCTGAGAAGTTATATATTCATCTTTTAAAAGAAATCTCCTTTGATGGGGTTCTTCACCACTCTGCAAATAAATGGCAGAAAAATCTTAAATAGTACTTATTCCAGTAGTACTTTGTCCAGCTAGAGTTGTCCTGTCATAATAGTCATAGAAAACGGATTTAATTATCTGTAATAACAGTAATTTTTGTTAAAAGGCTGGTTTTGTGGCAGTCTGTCCTTTCTGTGTCCTTTGAGAGTTGGACAAAATTTCTAAGGTACACTTCTAAACAGAGCTATGATAAGTTCTTTTTATCTCTAGCGTCTTTTATTGAATAGGACATAAATGCTGTCTCTGAGAAGACAGTTGTAATAACTGCGGTAATTATTATTTAGATATTAAAAGATACTGAAAAATACATTCTGGGAAGTTGTTTAATTAGATGTAGACACATGTTTAATGGTAAGTTCAAGTGCCCCCATTTAACATGGTAGAAGTTTACCACCTGAGCTGTAGGACATACAACTGTCTTCTCAGAGACAGCATTTAATAACTGCGGTAATTATTATTTAGATATTAAAAGATACTGAAAAATACATTCTGGGAAGTTGTTTAATTAGATGTAGACACATGTTTAATGGTAAGTTCAAGTGCCCCCATTTAACATGGTAGAAGTTTACCACCTGAGCTGGTGCTATGGCTGAAGTTGCATGCGTTGTGATCTATCTTTGTGGCCGATTAAAGTGGATTTGCTTAACGATCTCTTATGTTGGCTTAAGCTGCCACTGGATGAAAGAGCAGCATCCTTTGACTCGTTAAAATTTCAGGTGTGAAACTTCAGACAGTATGTTTTGAATAGATTGTTAAGTATAGTTGTCAGGCTCATATTTAATTTTAATCTTTCTTCAAAATGAAAATGGATTCCAGTTTCTAAAAAAAATTTTTGTAAATAAACCACGTCTTTTATGGTTTTCAAAAATTCCATTCTGTTACAAAGTGAATAGTGTAGCACATATTTAACAGAAGTGTTTCCAGAGTTGTACCTGGTCTCAGCATCTTACCTTTCTCATACCTGCAACTCATGTGTAAAAAGCCATAAGATATTTCTGAGCCTCAGTGAGACAGGTGGTATGAGCATAGATTCACCATAATGCCATGGCAGCGTAAGCATGAGCTGACAAGGTTTTGTGCGGGTTTATATTTACAGTCTGCCCTGAACCCTTGTCCCCATGTAAATGTAAGTATTTCAATATCCGTATGTGGTGGTGTTTTTTTTCATTCTGCGCACACTTCATTCTTTCTAGTGGGACTGTGAATGCTCTAACACTTAGACTAGAATGTGTTTTCCTTCTTGGCTGATGTCACACAGAGGTGAAATTTGTCAAGAATGGGGAGAAGATAAACAGTAAGAAGCAGGAGAGGAAAGCTGAGGGCAGGTAGAGGAAATGAACAAGCATGATAAGCAGGGAAACTGAGATTGGGCAATGAGAAAGGAAAAGGATGAAACAATAGAGCACAAGGAGAACAGAACATCTAGAAGACACGTTTGCAGGATCTGGAGCACTATAAATGTATTGCTTTTGTGCAATGCTGCAAAGCCTTCCACAGCAGCCTTTAGCCTAACTTAGCTCCTTGGACACTGGAGAAGGAAGAAAAGGTGGTTATTATTTATATATTTATTAGTATTGAAATCCTCCTAGCTACCAGAGATACTGGTGCCTGTATTCAGCATGCTAATCGGATGCTTGCCTAACCTGTGTTGTTTTTGGTTTAGTTATGCAAGACGAGATGTGCTGCCTCTGGGGAAATTCACAGTCAACTTGAGTGGATGTCCAAGAAATAGCATCTTCACAGAGCACATATACCGCATTATCCAGCAGCTTGTTCCAGCAGTAAGAATAATGGCGTTAATAGTGCTTTAATATTTCTGATGGTAGAAGTTGGACTAATGGTTCCAACCAAATAAACAAGATTTTGGTTTAAGGCAGGCTTCTTAAACGAAGGCTCCTGCTATCTATGTGGAGGGCAGATTAAAATGGAGATGTGGCTTGCCTGTCAGTTGAATCCTCTATTTACCATATCATCTAGGATGAATATGGAATAAAATCATATCCTCATAGGTATTAATCTGACAGACAGATTTTATTTTGTCTCTCTGGATTGATATGTTTAGACACATCATTTAATTATCTTGTCACTGTTTATCCCCAATACTGTTCTGCGGAAAATTCGTAGTAATTCAGTTTGGGGTCATAATAATTGTATTGCTGCAATAAATCATTTGTTGTTGTTTTGCTCATCCTAGATGTGCAATACAGGTGATGTGGATTCTTAACAACATTATTTTCCTTTGGGAAATTTTTTTTAAAGTGCTTAGCATTTGGACATGTGAGATCAAGTCTATTCTATATTGTGGTAACAATTTTGCTTTACTTACTGTGGAGGTTCACATTACAGCTCTTGCTAAAGGAAGGAGCGTTTACTAGGGAAGCTGGAGTAGAGGTAATGTGCTGATTAGTTTCTTTTTTTGTTGCAGTCCTATCGCCTACCAGTGACCATTGAAAACATGAACCGTTCACGATTTATCCCGCACAAAGACTACACAGCAAATCGCTTAGTCAGTGGAGTATTGCAGCTTGCCAGCAACACTTCCCTTGTGGTAGATGAGACTCAGCTTGAGCAAGGACAGCTTGACGCAACAGGTAGGCATTTCTTGGTTTGGTTTGGTTTGGTTTGGTTTGTTTTTTTAAATCTCATCTGGAAGGTTAAAATTTGTTATGTTTTAGGACAGTCATGCTAATTGTGTCCCAGTGATAATTTTCTATTACGGAACTGTTTGTGGTTTCCATGCCCTAATCCATTGCTTGAACTAGCTTCCTGCTAGTCTGCAGCCTTCTTGGACGATTTAAGGCATGATCTCTTGGAGGGTTTTCTCCCTGTTTTATTTTGTGGAATTTCTGGTATTTTGCTCAGGAATGCTTGTGTTGAGTCAAAGTCTCTATCCCAGAGCACAAATGACTGACAATGACACGAGATGGTTCCTTGCTTAGTGTAGCTTTGTTTGCATTGTAGAGAACTCTGGGCAGTGTTTGTGACACTTGGTGGAGAAGGCCACTGATGTGAATAGCTCTTTAGACCAAGATACCTCTAACAAATTAGAATGGCCTTTCCGTTTCCTGAGATAATGAATGAAGTACCAGCATCTGTGGGGATTTCAAGGAAGGAGGAACAGGAAATCACCGGATGTGACTATATTTTAAAATAAAAATGCAATCTTGACAAACCTGCTAGACTGTGTGATGCTGTAAGCCTGTTGGGTCTCCCGAATGAGTATCAGTGCTCTGGCCCATTCACCTCATAGAATCACAGAATGGTTTGGGT